ATGATTTAAGGGCAGGAATTCCTGGGCCTGATGATCCTTCATTAGTGTCATGACAATCAATACTGTCTGAATAATATTTGTTAAAAGCAGAGTAGAAACCCAAATGTCTTAAAATGTTACTCTACTGTAGTAGCATTTTTAAAGATTGAGAAATGGACTGGGGTAGAGGTGAGCATAGAATCTATTTTAAAAAAATAAACTGTGAATTTAGAAAATGAACATATTTTGAGATTGTGAATGTGCTTATATATGCATTTGAATTATTTAAATTTGAGTGTATTTTGTGCTTCACAATACAAGTAGGAATAAAGGAAATGCTGCAATATTTTACAGCAAATGTGGAATGTGAGATCAGTTCTCTATTTATCACAGGAAACTAAAGTCTGAGAACCATGCTTATTGTCAGGTAGCCAATACCTAGGAATAATTGCTTTCTTGTACGTTTAAAAAAGATCTTAGATAAGTGATAAAGCAGGTACAAGTCCATATTAAAATGTTTTTTATTGAATTAAATGTTGGACTGAATAAACTTCAAATAAAAGACTATTCTTTATAAGGAAAACATTACTGGCATAACTTTAAATCCACGTATGATAACATTTATATGCAATATGTAGGAATATTTTTATAATTCCTCTCCAAAACACATTGTAAGCCAGCGTTCGAACAGCTCTGTAACGGAAAACTGCACATTGTATGAGTGCTGTATGTATTTGGCATACCAGAAAGTTCTCAGCTCATACAAAAATATCCCTGCCCCCCCCTTTTTTTTTCCTTCAAAAAGGAAATTATCAACCTTAATTCCTTGGGGTATTTTCTGGAAGTCTCTTCATCATCATTTAGAAAGCTGTTGTTTATGTAACTGTATTTTAATTTCAGATTTAAAACCTCTCAGAAGTTGTTCATTTCTCACAGCTTCTTTTGTGAAATCAGCGTTGTATGTATGATGGCATTTAAAAATAGTAGCATGTTTTTTTATCTGAATTTTATATCTGATCAATGTCCTCAGTCATGAAGAGGAATTTGCATTGTCGTGTTTGTATATAGAGTATTGCAGTGCATGATTAGCTTATGCATTTTATTAAATGCTGTTTAAATGTGGCATTATATTGTTGTGGCTTAATATTACTACCTAAATGAGGTTTATACTATTAAAGTGAATCACAAATACAAATGCATTCTTGATTTTATTTTTAGTTTCATTTCATTTATTCTGAAACAAGAATCAAACAGATCATTTACTGTCTTTCAGGGGAAAGGGTATTTTCCCTTCATTCTTGTTGGTGATTTAACTAGTTCTAATAGAAGATCAGTCCCACAAACCTTACTAATGTCAAGGAGCTACTTCTCGGAACAAGTTGAGGAATTTTTTTTTTCTTAAAGGTTTTCATTCATATTTTAGCCATCTGCTTTCCCCTTAAATATAGCTGAGGAGATAGCTCTTAGTAAATACCTGTTCACTTATACCGGGCAGCCCTTTTCTACCCTAAACACCCCCCTTCTTTTAAAATTAAGGGGTTGCAGTGGGTCTTTCCACACACGTAACTGAGTAAAGACAGGCTCTGTATTCAAAGCAGTAGAGTTTTGTACATATGAAGTACTTGTTTATATAAAGAAGGTGGTTAACTTTATTTTTGTTGCTGTTTGTAGAAATTGTACAGTTTTACAAAAGTTTCACTTTTTGTCAAACAAGACAAGCACAGTGAAGGGGCTGCTTTCTCCCAGAACACCAAGGTCAGCCTGCCATGCAGCATAATTCATGGTGTTATTTTGTGACACCTACGTGCAAATAGATCTATCCTCTGCCACCAGCGACTGTGCAGGTGTCCCAGGGTGCTCACTAGGACCGTTACCGAACGATAAAGCCTCTAGCGAAGAAACAGGCACAGGGAACGCCGAAGGGTGCAAGGACTCGAGACGATGGTTCTCTGGCCAAATGTGGGAGGTACCTTGAGCAACACCTGTCCAGCCTGTGCCAGGGATAGATGCAAGGAATTGGGGAAACTTCTCTCCAGCAGAAGATGCATTCTTCCTGCTTGACAGAGATGTATGGGTTAGCACAAACAAAAACAGCCATTTTTCACTTAACAATTGCAACGTGATAGCAAAGCAAAAACTTTATCGGTAGAGTTAAAAAAAAAAACCACTAATCTGCAGCAAGATACAAACTTACTGCAAAAGAGAACTAGAAAAAAAAAAGCCTGTGATTAGCTTTTTGCAAGGAGCTAAATTGCAGACCTTTCCTCTCTGTTTTATTCCATCTTTCAGCTGGTTTCCTCTATTAAATTACTGATACTAGTTATTTCTTACGCCTCCCTTTTAATGCCCCCCCC